GACCCGTCAGATTTTTAAGGGGGCCTCGGTGTTACTGAGTTTGGGAATGGCTGATGTAGACAATGGAGCTCCATCACACATAGCTAAATAAAAAGTGAGACGTACAGTCCAGAGCTCTCTGAAGCAAATGGATTAATGCTTTCATATACTCTTAAACTGAGTGGTGTTATTTGTTATGAACTGTGCACGTATGGGTTCTTTTCAGTGACGTGTGGTGAGATTTGTAATTGGTGAGGCACTGACGCGAGGACAGAGAGAGAGATGTGAGGACAAAGACACGAGGAACATGAACAAGAATTTAAACAACTTGCAGAACTCTTCAGCAGTGTTTGAATTAGTGTTTTTCGGGGGGAAGCACTGTTATGTGATCTGCACGCAAGTGCGCTGCCGCACCTTGTCTCTTTGAATATGAAAAACACGATTTCAGCGATTTTGGCTACAGAAATGAACAAAACTGGGCAGAATTGTACCGAAAATACATTAAAAGCATAGGCCTACCTCCCCTGACTGCACGTCCTTGGTTCTATTATTATTATTATTATTAATCTTTATTAAGGACACAATACAACACGGTCCATAGTTAAAAAACCAAAGAAAAAATATATACAAGAAAACAAAACAAAAAGAGAACATTACAGCTGCTGAACAGTATAAAGGCATAACCTCCAGTAAGTCCATAATTTGGAGGTGAACAGCAGTGAGCAGAACTCGGGGCTGACGAGAGTCTTAACAATCACATTAATAGAGTTCCTCAGACGACACATAAATCTGAACTGAACATTTCGAAGAGATGCAGAACAAGATCGAACACCACAGTAAGCAAACATCTCACTTGCGCTGCTGTGCCGAGGAACCTTCAGCAGCAGCCTCAAGGAGTTGTTATAGGCCACAGTGAGTTTCTGCAAACTGGACTTTTTAAAACTCTTCCAAAGGTAAGCAGTGTACATAGGTGAGCAGTAAGATTTAAAAAGAGTTACCTTTACCTCAGGAGAGCACATACTAAACTTACGTAGCAGCATATTTGATTGGCCATATAACTGACACAGCTGCCTGTGCATGTCCTTGTCATCAGAAAGGTCACTGGTGATGTAGTGACCGAGGTATTTCACCTCATCTGCAGATTCCAAAAGGTTTCCGGAAAGGAAAAAATCAGGAAAACATAATTTACTGTCATCTTTAGTACGCGCAATCATTACCAGGCTTTTTGCAGCGTTATATTTGATATTATGATCCAAACCATATTGAGAGCACACATTAAGTAGTTGCTGAAGACCAGCACTGCAGGGACTGAACACCACCAGATCGTCTGCGTACATGAGGTGATTATATCTGCTGTAACCAACACTGCATCCTGTGGTACAGGTGTTCAGTTGCACCGACAGGTCATCCATGTACACATTAAACAACATGGGAGAGAGAATCCCTCCCTGACGAACCCCATTAGAGACTCTGAAGGAGTCAGAAAGAGCCTCCCCCCATTTCACCTGCATGGTCTGCTCCGAATACCAAAAAATAAGCAATCTGATCAGATACCCAGGAACTCCACGCTTTGACAGTTTCAAAAACAATTTCTCATGATCAATTCTGTCAAAAGCCTTGGAGGCATCTAGAAAACACACAAACATTGTAGAGCCCTGACAATGATATTTATCTAAAAGTTCCTTCAGTACAAAAATACAAGTGTCTGTACCATGGCCAGATTTAAAACCAAACTGGTTAAAAGTTGTACTTAAAAAAGGTTCAAGTCTATTTAAAATCACAGTCTCAAGAACTTTGGAAACGATGCTAGCCAAAGCTATAGGACGATAGTTAGCTGAGCTAGTCAGTTTTCCTGCTTTGTCTTTAATAACAGGGACCAGCAGAACTGACAGAAGAGATTCAGGCAGACTACCATGAACCATGAATCCAGTGAAACACAGGGCCAGCAGAGGGTACATATTCCTACTTGCAAATTTGAGGTGTTCAGATGTGATATTATCTGAGCCACATGACTTTTTACTTTTGAGTTTGTGGACAACATTAAAAACCTCTTGTGGCGTTACTATTGAACCTGCATTGTTTAAAATAGAACCTACAATGGGAGCTTTTCCCTTAATACAATTAAAGAGATCAAAGTAAAATTCTTTCCATAATTGACAAATATTTTGTGAGCCACTCACTCCATCCACAACCGAAGGGAGGGAGGTGTTGCTGTTACTCATCATTCTTATCTCCTTCCAAAAGTCACTGCAGGTGTTGTCTTGGAGCTTAGATGCCAGAGATTCAGCCCTAAGACGCTGTTCATTCTTTTTTATGTACCTCAGACTGTATTTGTATCTTGCATTTGCATATTTCTTGTTTTCAAACAGAGGTCCACTCCTGCATCTCCCTGCATCCACCCAAGCTTTGAATGCAGCACGGGCCTCAGCATGAGCCTCACCTACGTGCCTATTCCAACCGGGCTTTCCACAGGGGGAGCGTATCTTGTTTTGACAGGGTTTCCCAGAACTTATAAGGGCTTCCAGAATTTTACAATAAAACAAATCCAGTTGGGTAGAATGTTCATGATTTGTACAGTTCATATCACGGCATAAAATAGCATCCCTCGGCAGATCAATATGTCCAAGATTAACATGTGTTCTCCGAGTATATGCACAGATGTCCTCACAAGTAAGCTTAGACCAGTCCACTCTCTCGTAATATACAGACGGCCCTAAAGAAGTAATCAAGGGAACACTACCCAGGTTACATTTAATAACAAGTGGCATGTGGTCAGATGTAGCCAAATCATATCTGATCTGCATGCTATCAATAACTGCATGAGCATCACTGGTGCATATACAATGGTCAAGCCAGGATGTTGAGTGCCAGGCGTCACTAACATATGAGAAGCTATCGCTTGGGAGAAGAGCCATACTGGAAAGAACTAGGCGGTTCTCAACACAAAATTGCTTTAAATGATTGGTAAATAGAGATTTCTCATCCAAAACATCAGCATTCATGTCCCCAACTACAAATATACAGGTGCAGTTAAGGTCTTGAATAAATGCCATAATCCCAGCCAGACAATTTAGATATTCATCCTCATTATTAGCACACTCATAAGGAGTATATATATTCAGAATGAGAAACTTCCCACGACTACACTGAACCTGAAGCCCAATGGCCCAGTCAACTCCCAACCTGAGCACAGTAACCTCAGAATCATATTTCTTGTGCCAAAGTACAGCAACTCCGCCTGAAATTCTGCCTTTAAGTAGCTTAGTGTTCAGATCTGTAGTGGATTCCCCTGCCCCATGGAAGTCCACATGCACAGCGTTAAGTTTATCCAGATCCTGCTTGGCTAAGAAAGTCTCTTGAATACATAAGATATCACAGGTTTGCAGAAGTGAGTCCACTACAGCCCGACGTGCAGAGTCTGCTTTACTGTGTCCAACGCGCAGCCCGCGCGCATTATAAGACACAATTGTAAAGGGCATGATACAGTTTATTCGGAGATACCCGCACCTGCGGCTCCCGCGGCTCCCGCGGCTCCCGCACCTGCGGCTCCCGAACCCGCTACAGGTCCGGCACTACCAACATGCATTCCTCCAGCCCTGCGCGCTTCGTAGTACCGACGCACATATGTACCAGCTGGCCAAACTATTGTGTCTCAGTCACGTATTTACAGGACTTCCTCACGCAGCTCCTTCGCTTGCAGCTCGGCAGATCCCATACGCACGCAGACCCAGTTGTAGAATTGATTAAATCATTTGTATATAACGTTGAAAACAAATAGTGGGAGAGTAAATGAAAAGAGCAAATCCATTGAGGTTCAAACACCTCTAAGCAGGGAAGCCCTTTTTGCATTTGTGATTACATGTCATTTCGAGTTTATTCCCATAATATTTCGAGATTATTCTTCTAATCTAATAATTGACTTTAAAGTCAAAATATTCTGACAAAAAAAATCTGATGAGCCCTATGCTTCATCATAAAATGCCAGAGTAAAATCCTAGTTTGTGACTTTATGTAACAATGGCAAAAAAAGAAAAAAAAGGATTCTGGTTCTGGTCTATTAAGCAGCATTATGTTAATTTACTGGAAAACTGCCTCTGTCCTTGAACTTTCAAATCCATTCCCATTGTCACATATGTTTGTGCAATGAAAAGGTGGAGACGTTTTATTTTTATTCATTACCGCTGCTTTGATGTATCCATTATGCAACCTCTTTAAAAAGGCACATTTCAAAGCTACAGAGCTGGTTAAACCCCAGCGCTTGAGCTGCAGTCACTCGGTCTTCGGGAGCCAGGGCCTGATAAGAACCAGGGAATCACCTAAGATGTTTATACTATAGCTGTCCAAACAGGGTCGAAGATAAGCAGTGTAGGTAGTCCACACTGCAAAAAAGATTGATGTAGGATATGTTTCTTATAAGTTAGACTGACATCTCTCCTTATCTACGACTCAATATAATAAGATTGGACATGCGGCAAACAGAGAAGAAGGGCTGGGAAGTTGCTTAAGTAGAAAAGCACTGCAACAAGAGTGCAGTGGTGAATATTCTCGCAAACAATCAGAGGTTTGAGAAAAGGCTGTATATAGATGCCCAATGCTAACCAGCTCAGTGAAGCCTAATAGGAAAGTGGTCCATCACCAGCTCTATATAAAAGTTTTCTATTGAGCTTTTCAGGACACTCAAAGACGCTTCAAGTGTCATTATTCATTCACTTCATACACAGTGGGGATAAATTACCTTTATGGCCCCACCTGCCCTGGGGCACACTGACAGAAGCAAGGCAACCAGTATGTGCCATCGGCCCCTCTTACCACCACCAACCACTCGCATACAGTAGGTCCCATTCCGTTTTGTCGTCTTCATTCACGCTTCTCGGGAATCACGCAGCTGCGTGAAAAATAGTACATCTTATCGCCACAAGGTGGCAGGCTAAGTCCGCTTTAGCTCTGCCAGCGACTTAGACGCTCAGGTATAAGACTGTCGGGGCAAGCTCCAACGCAAGGACCAGCACTCCAGCTGCTTCATGTGCCTGGGTGCGGGCCATGCGGCGTTGAGCGCCACCTGCGCCTCGTGTGTCGCTCTCCCCAGGGAGGAGAGTGAACGCAGGCGCGCGTTCTTCGCCGCTACAGCGCCCCGTCCGGACTCCTCTAAGGACGAGGAGTCTGAGATTGACTGGGCCCCCCTCGACATTCCACCTGTGCCCGCGGAGTGGGGTGACTGCGAGGACGGAGAGGTGTCGGAGGTCGGCTCTCTCCTCACGCTGGACGAGGTGGTGTCCAACCCGGAGCCGGACCGCTTCCCGCTGGACCACATGCCTGGGCTCTACGCCACGGCGGCGGCCATCATGGATGCCCCCCTGCCACCGCAACCGAACCAGAGGGTGGAGGACTTCACCTCTGGGTACGCAGCCCCTCGAGGGAGGAGGAGAGCCCAGCCCACGTTGTGCCCGCGTATGGACCCGATCGTCCATTACGCGACACGTGAGTGGCCAAAACCCCTAGCGGCCAAGAGGCCCGCTTTGGGGTATGGCATGTACTGCAACGTGCAGGACTGGTCCTGGACAGGCGGGGTCCCGGACATCGAGGACTCGGTTCGGGCGGCCCTGCACCCCTCCTCATCCGTGTGGCCCAGCACCAGACCTCTCCTTCCCTCCGAGCGGGATAGGATGTCTCTGGCTATGCATGACAGATGTTACGCCAATGCGGCTCAGGTCGTCGCGGTGGCGAACAACATGGCTTTCATCACCGGGGCCCTGGATAGGTCTCTCTCCTCTGACCAGGCACTCAGTGGAGACACCTTAGCCCAGGCGAGGACCACTTCAGCAGCGATCTTGCGCATGTGCCAAGCGCTAGCTGTCGATGGCGGCCGCTCTATGGCAGCAGCCCAGGTCGGGGCCAGACACCTCTGGCTGGGGGCGGTGAACCTCAGAGAGGCGGAGAAGAGGCAGCTGCTGGACCTGCCCATCTCCCAGACGTCGCTCTTCGGTCCGGAGATGCAGACGCTGATGACGAGGCTGGACAGCGCGGCTAAGGACTCGGCTAGCCTAGCAAAACACCTAGCTACGAGACGCGAGGCCCGCCCACCAGCGCGGAGCCGAGACAGAGGCAGGGAGCGCTCGCCTGGCAAGCGCCCCGGACCATATCCACGCTCCGTGGTCCATCGTTCCCCAGCGGCGAGACCCCCGGGCCCAGACAGGCACACGGGAGGTTCGCGGGACCAACACACCCATCGACGGCCTCCCTACGGTAGAGGAGGTCGGGGTGGTAAAAACTCTTTCAATAAAGGCCGTCCGGCATTTCACCAGTACTCGCTGTCTGAGTCTCATTTGGGGGTATGTAACATGTCAAATGATTTGAATTCTGTTTGTGTTACTTCTCGAGCATATAACGTGGCTCCGCCAGGCCTGCAGCCCCCAGAGAAGGGCGTGCAGCGCGCTGTGCAGACCACGAGCTCCGATTCACGGGTTCATGTTTTGCCCTCCCGGAGAGAGGGCAGGCGGAGGGATCTGATAAGTGCTAATGTGTGTGCTCCGGGCGCTAGCGTGTTAGCATCTCTGAGCTACAAGGCTAACACGGGGTTTCCCAATCCAGGGGCTCTCCCCCCCCTCCATGAGGCAAGAGCCAAGGGGGGGCGCAGCAGCCGTGTCACGCGTGATGAGCAGAGCTACATTGCTAACACGGGGTTTCCTAATCCAGGGGCTCTTCCCCCCCTCCATGAGGCAAGAGCCAAGGGGGGGCGCAGCAGCCGTGTCACGCGTGATGAGCAGAGCTACAATGCTAACACGGGGTTTCCCGATGCAGGGGCTCGCCCCCCCCTCCATGAGGCAAGAGCCAGGGGGGGGCGCAGCAGCAGCCGGGTCACGTGTGGTGAGCAGTCCCGTACTTATGACGTCGGACCTGCAGAACACGTGACCGCCCTCGGCGCTCACGGTGTGACGCAGGGGCCCCCCCGGCCCTTTCAGCCACCCCCCCTCCCTGCTAGGAACACCAGGAGGGGGCGGGGCCATGACGTCTCGTGTTCCAGCTCCCGTTCCGCCCCTCACAGATTTCTACGACATCTGGAAGGAGCAGGGCTTACTGTCAGATGTTTGGCTGGAGAAAACTCTGCGCAGAGGTTACGCTCTGCAATTTTTCCGAAAGCCACCACCATTCCGAGGCGTACGGGCAGTACGCTCTCAGGTACGGGGATCGACAGAGGCACTGGAAGCAGAGGTCTCCTCCCTGCTGAGTCGAGGCGCAGCAGTGGAGGTAGACCCGCAGGACGCCACCAGGGGGCTGTACTCCCCTTACTTTCTGGTGCCAAAGAAATCAGGCGGGGTGCGTCCCATTCTGGATCTGCGCGTGTTAAAACGAGTGCATTTCCAAACGGCAGTTTCGGATGCTGTCCACAAGGCAGCTCCTCGAGTGTGTCAGGGAAGGAGACTGGATGACATCCATAGACCTGACAGACGCATACTTCCACGTACCCATAGTGCCAGAACACAGGAGATTTCTGCGCTTCGCAGTGGGAGAGAGGAATTACGAGTACTGCCGTCTCCCTTTCGGGTACGCTCTCGCGCCTCGCACTTTTTCCAAATGTGTGGAAGCGGCTCTGGAGCCGATCAGACGTGCCGGGGTAAGAATATTGACCTATATAGACGATTGGTTAATACTGGCCCCATCCAGGGAAGTGGCCGTGAGCCACACGCAATGGGTCTTGTCCCACATACAGCGTCTGGGCTTTGTGGTGAACAGGGAGAAGAGCAAGCTGCAGCCAGCCCAACGCATGATTTACCTCGGTCTGCAGCTAGACTCTGTGATATTCCGTGCTGCATTGTCCGTGGACAGACGGACGAATATTACCCGTCTGGCCCGGGAGGTTCTGGCGGGCCCCAGAGTTCCCGCTCGGCGCCTCAGGTCCCTGCTGGGGATGATGGCAGCGGCTCATGCTGTGGTGCGGCTAGGCCTGCTCCACATGAGAAATTTTCAGAGGTGGTTCTCGCGCCTCAGGCTTCACCCCTCCCGGGACGGGGGGAGGCTGATCTGGGTTCCCCAAGGGGCAGCATCGGACATCAGGTTCTGGCTCACTCCGGGTCTACTGCGGGACGGAGTGACTCTGGCCTGCGCTGTGTCTCACGCCGAGGTGTTCACGGACGCGTCGCTCGAAGGATGGGGCGGGGTCCTCGGCCAGAGCTCTGTAGGAGGCTGCTGGTCGGACTCAGCCCGTCACATCAACCTGCTGGAGATGGAGGCAGTGCACAGAGTACTGCTGCACTTTGCCCCTCAGCTGCAGGGGAGACACGTGATGGTGCGCTCAGACAACACCACAGTGGTCTCCTATCTGAACAGGCAGGGGGGCACCAGGTCCCCCGCTCTCCATCGCATGGCGACGGTGACGCTGCTGTGGGCGGCGCTTCACCTCCTGTCTCTCAGGGCGCGCACGTCCCGGGGGTCCGGAACGTGGGAGCCGACAGGATGTCCAGGGGGGGGCCCACTCCAGGACGAGTGGGGCCTGGCCCCACGGGTAGCCGCGGAGATCTGGCGGAGGTTCGGTCGTCCAGTAGTCGACCTTTTCGCCAGTGCAGAGAACGCACAGTGCCCGTCTGGTTCGCCTTAAGGGCGCGGACGAGCCGCCTTTAGGCGTGGACGCTCTGGCTCATTACCATGGCCAGGCGGCCTGTTGTACGCTTTTCCACCGGTGCGTCTCCTGCCGTGGTCCTACTGCGGAGGATCGAACAGGAGAGGAGGTCGGTGATTCTGGTGGCTCGGACAGCCCGCGCATCCCGGTGGTTCCCCTGTCCTGAGGGGCTTGGCGGTGATGGAGCCTCTGGGCCCCCTCCCGTACGACTCCGGGGCACTAGTCCAGGGGGCAGGAGCCCTGTTTTCAACTCCGATAACGCCGCAGGCTCTGGGGTTGAGGTTTGAGATGGCAGCCTCGGTAGATCTGGGCTGTCCCCCTGCGTGTGAGACTATTCAGGGAGCGTGGGCCGCCAGCCCCACCGGGACAGGCCTACGCCACGAGGTGGAGGCTTATTCATGCCTGGTGCGATTTCCGTTCCGGATCACCAGGTTTTGCCCCGATGCGAGGGGTCCTGGGATTCCTACAGGAGCTTTCGACAAGGGAGGCTGGTCCGCTACCTTGGCGGTGTTTGCGCAGCCATTACTTCAGTCACACGGTTCCGGGGGGTTCACACCGATCTCCACCCGTGATATAATCGTTTTCTGCGGGGGGCGCGCAGGTGGAGGCCCCCCGCTCCAGAATGAACGCCTGCCGTTTGGGGACCTCAGGTGTCATAATTGGGCTTCGGTTCGCCTTTTAACCGCGGCGAGCGATCCCGTTGGAAGCCGTCTTTGAAGAACAGCCACTTCTTGCTGGCGTTGGCGTCTGCAAAAAGGGCGGCGATTTGTGTGCCGCTCTCATCCAGTGCGTCGTGCCCGTCCTTTGGAGAACGACTGCATGGTGGAGTTGTTGGGCCCAATTCCTGCTTTTCTCGCCAAGGTCAGCACGTCGGCCGTTAGGGGCGTGAGTGAACAGGTTTAGGGGCTTGCACCCGCCCCGCATGCCGCCCCCGAGAGGAGCGCAAGCACCTTCTGTGTCCTATCAGAATGCTGAGGCAATTTCCCTGGCCATGACGTCGTCATTCATGGCGTTGATCATATGCAATCCAATGCAACAACATGTTAATCGTCACACTGTGGTGGAATATAAATTACTCAGTGGATCAGGGACGCCTCAAGAACCTCTGCTTTGCAAACACTATATTGCATGTATGCTAAACAAGTGTGCTATTTCAATTTAGTATTTGTGTAATTGTTTGGCAGTTTTATATTTCAGTTTTTGTTTCGAAAATATAGTTCAAGGCTTTTTTCACCATGCAACTAAATTAAAAAAATAATTGTAATTTTGTATACTTTGTGAGAGCTCTCTATTTGACGCTTTGTGCGTGGACCTGATTGGTTGGTCCTCTCTTTTTTACTTTTCTAACTGACAAAGCTGATCTTAAATTGTGAAAGAGGACAGATATACAAAAATACATGTGAAAAATAGTGATCGAACCAGACGTTTGTTAGAGCGAGGGAATAGTTAGACAGATGTTACTGTATGTTATAATATAGTTAGATTGCTTGTAGTTTGAAAATTAGATACCCCAGGGAAAAAGTACAAATATGACTGTTTGAAATTTTTCACACTCTTCCACAATAAATCTATTTGATTCATAATGCAAATATAATCACGCTAGGGGAAATTATTCTATTGCAGTATTAAAATGTGAAATCTGCATTTGAGTCTATAGGAGGCTAGTGGTGAAATAGCCCTCTTCAGAAAATAACGTCATATTAAACATTTTCTGCCTGCGCTTGTTTTGAAGTAGGATGGAACAATGACTAGGCTTCGTTCTTGTCGCAACAATAGGAGGCTGGTCCGGTGATGATGGATACTAAAACAGTGGCAGCTTTATTGGCTGTTTGCTTGTTCTAGGCCTGACTGATTGCCCAGGTGTGATGTAAATGAACTCAAAGTACGTCTCGTTTCATCACGCTGACAGCTTTACGTACTTTACAGCAGCAGACGCTCTTTCTTTCCATCACTTTTAATAACTACTCCCTCTGCCGAAGTTTGTAAACAAGTTTGCAATCTTGGAAAGTTATAATCTTATCTGAAAGCTATGACATTTCTATTGTTGTATCTGATTAAATGGAAAAGCAGCGATTGTGGAGGGAGAAATAATGAATGTTTAGTGCAATTTTCTTCAACTTGAATACTTTTTTTTTCATGAATGGGCAAACATAAATAGCAGGTGATCACTTGCTTTGCTCTTAAGTAATTTCAGAGTGAAATGAGGCTGTTTAATGGACCACTAGGCGCTGCAGGGAGACTGTGCCAAGACCTTGCTTTCTGCTCCATCTAAATTGCTCTATTTTCTACATTATCCCTCTGGGCTTAAAAGAATATTTGTTTCACTGGTGTCAACATTTAGACCTCTTTTCTTTAATTTGGTTTTAAAGGATTTTCAATAAGAGAAATAGGGAGGACTAATACATCTACAGATAGTTTGTAGTTTCAAAAGCTTTCGAACAAGACTGGCAAAAACGTCTCCCTCTGAAGAACATTAAAAGTAGTAATGATACAGATAAACAAATAAATAAAAAATACATTTGAAGCGTCAAAGTATTGATTAGACAACACCACGATCTGACAAACTTCCAATAGCTCACAGTTCTGCCTTTGAACCAGGACTGACCCTGGTCTGAACCAGGTCATACCCAGCGGGGCTTCACTGCACACACACATGCGCCCGCGGGCACATCACAAGCCCACACACACATGCATGAACGAACGCACACACATGCCGGCTTTGTGGACAACGGTGATTCAGCAGAAAACATAATTTGACTGCTTTGATCTGACATCAGGACCCAGCGCTGATGCGGAGGAGGTCAGTGCTCTCACATGCACAGAACGGACATGCAGCGTTGGATTTGAGCCCTGCGCACTGGGTTCAGGGCCTAAGTTGATAGCTGTGCTTAATGACGCTCCAGGGCTGTGCAACAGATTTCAATCATCCATCCATTTTCTTCCGCTTCATCCGTTGCCGGGTCGCGGGGGCAGCAGTCTAAGCAGAGACGCCCAGACTTCCCTATCCACACACACCTCCTCCAGCTCGTCCGGGGGGACTCCAAGGCGTTCCCAGGCCAGCTGAGAGACATAGTCCCTCCAGCGTGTCCTGGGTCTTCCCCGGGGCCTCCTCCCGGTGGGACATGCCCGGAACACCTCCCCAGGGAGGCGTCCAGGAGGCATCCGGAACAGATGCCCGAGCCACCTCAACTGGTTCCTCTCGACGTGGAGTAGCAGCAGTTCTACTCCGAGCTCCTCCCGTGTGACTGAGCTCCTCACCCTATCTCTAAGGGAGCGCCCAGCCACTCTGCGGAGGAAGCTCATTTCGACCGCTTGTATCCGCGATCTTGTTCTTTCGGTCATTACCCAAAGCTCATGACCATAGGTGAGGGAGGGGACGAAGATTGACTGGTAAATTGAGAGCTTTGCCTTTCGGCTCTGCTCTCTCTTCACCACGACGGTCCAATACAGCGACCGCATCACTGCGCACGCTGCACCGATCCGCCTGTCAATCTCACGCTCCATCCTTCCCTCACTCGTGAACAAGACCCCGAGATACTTGAACTCCTCCACTTGAGGAAGGGCCTCTCCTCCCACCCGGAGAGGGCAAGGCACCTTTTTCCGGTCGAGCACCATGGCCTCAGATTTGGAGGTGCTGATTCTCATCCCAGCCGCTTCACACTCGGCTGCAAACCGTCCCAGTGCATGTTGTAGGTCCTGGTTCGTTGGAGCCAACAGGACAACATCGTCTGCAAACAGCAGAGATGAAATCCTGTGGTCCCCGAACCGGACCCCCTCCCGACCCTTGGCTGCGCCTAGAAATTCTGTCCATGAATACAGTGAACAGAACCGGTGACAAAGGGCAGCCCTGGCGGAGGCCAACATGCACCGGGAACAGGTCTGACTTACTGCCGGCAATGCGAACACAGCTCTGGCTCCGGTCATACAGGGACCGGACGGCCCTCAGCAGAGGACCCCGGACCCCGTACTCACGGAGGACCCCCCCAAAGGACACCCCGGGGAACACGGTCGAACGCCTTCTCCAAATCAACAAAGCACATGTGGACAGGTTGGGCGAACTCCCATGAACCCTCGAGTATCCGATGGAGAGTGTAGAGCTGGTCCAGTGTTCCACGGCCGGGACAAAAACCACACTGCTCCTCCTGAATCCGAGATTCGACCATCGGCCGTAACCTCCTCTCCAGTACCTTGGAGTAAACCTTACCAGGGAGGCTGAGGAGTGTGATCCCACGATAATTGGAACACACCCTCCGGTCCCCCTTCTTGTAGAGAGTGACCACCACCCCGGTCTGCCACTCCATTGGCACCGCCCCCCGATCGCCACGCGATGTTGCAGAGACGTGTCAGCCAAGACAGTCCTACAACATCCAGAGACTTTAGATAGTCAGGACGGATCTCATCCACTCCCGGCGCCTTGCCACCAAGGAGGCTGCCAACCACCTTGGTGACCTCTGCCAGGGTGACAGAAGTATCCGCCCCAACATCCTCAGCCTCTGCCTCCGGAGCGGAGGACGTGACGGGGGGATTCAGGAGAACCTCAAAGTATTCCTTCCACCGTCCGACAATATCCCCGGTCGAGGTCAGCAGCTCACCCCCCGCACCGTACACGGTGTTGGCAAAGAACTGCTTCCCCCTCCTGAGGCGCCGGACAGTTTGCCAGAATCTCTTCGAGGCCGACCGATAGTCATGCTCCATGGACTCTCCGAATTCCTCCCAGTTTCATTGTTCCCATTTCCCAATGGGATCCACAATCACGAAACGTTTACATCACCAATCTACCTATACAATAAACATTTAAGGAGCTATACCCGTTATAGCGGAGGAGTTATAGCCACTTTCTGATAACATGCTACTGTGTTTAGCAGCACTGTAGAGGCTAGAGGACGCAGCCTTGTTCTGTGAGTGGAGAAGTCTCTACTCCGCACTTTTAACGGCCTGAATTCATACACAAGCTGAATCAATGAGCTCAAATTTTCAATTAAATTACGGATTATTATACAACTTGTATGTATTAATAAGCATTTTTATGAACTCATTCGAAAAGTGGTCTGGTATAGCTTCTTTAAAGGGGACATATTATGAAAAATCAACTATTGTTCCTTTTTTTTGAATCCATGTTTCATTGTTACCTCATCAAAAACAGCTCTGGCCTTATTTTTTGATCCATCCAGGCTCTTATCAGGAACTTCTGGCACAGACACATTTGTTTCAGTAAAGGATTTTTATTATCTTTTCTCAAATGTTATCGGTGTTTTTTCACTACTGATTAGGGCTGAAACAACTAATCGATTAATCGACGACTAATCGATTATTGAAATAGTCAACTATTTTAGTAATCGATTAATTGTTTTTTGGTTCACAGACTCAAACAGAGCAAAAATGACATGAAAATCTAGTATTTTTGATTAAAACCGACTTTGTTTTTATAATTTCATGAATATCTGTGTCTCATCCAATCAGATAGCAGAATTAGCACAAAGAGCCTGTTACAAACATTTACTTTAAGTTTACGCCATCAATACGTCCTCGAGTGTTGCCACTTTAGCTTTTTGTGATGAAAAAATATTTTTTTTCTACACAATTCACAGCCAAGCGATTACTCGATTAATCGTAAAAAATAATCAATAGATTAATCGATAACAAAATAATCGTTAGTTGCAGCTCTACTACTGATCTTTCTTAAATTCATGTCATTCATCTCTGCCCTTTTGGTCTAA